GTAGTTCAGATTATGGGACACAGTTTAACGTGGTCTAATGGATCCTCCTTCTTTCTGTCTTCTCAGTTTAAATCTGGACGTAATATTCATGTCCACACTTGAGACCCTTCGTGAATGGGAAGCCCGGGCGAGATGGCCCTCTTGGTCCCCCCGGTAACGGATACTGTCCTACTCTCCCAAATGTTTCTAATTACAAATCTTTCCTTAACCATAAGCCAATCACACCACCTGCTCCAACTTACCGTGATATCATAAAAGAAGCAAAAAGACAGTTTGCAAAGAATCAAAAGGATTTTAGGATGTAAGTTGATGCCAAACTGTTGTTAAATGTAAAATCATAAGTGCTGTGAGCTGGAAGTAATCATAGAAATCATCTGCATTAAGCTCCTTATTTTACCGGTGAGAAGAGTCACTTCTGAGTGTCTTAAGAGATTTGGAGATTCTTTTCTAGTAAGTGTCAAGGGTGTACGTTAGAGCTGTGGAGCCATGGCAAGTATCAGGGGGTTGAAGGAAGGAAGGAAGCTTTGCTGTACTGTGGTTGGAGGGATGCACCCCAGCATGGAGAGACCAGGAGAGAGCTCCAGGGAACAGAGACTGGAGTACTGTTGATCTACAAAGATGAGCCCTGGGAGCACAGAAAGGTTGTTTGCAGGATGAGCTCCCTGGAGCAGGGGTGGCAGTTGGAGCAGTATTAAGGAATCGAATACAATAAAGAGAGATAAATGGAAGAGTAGCCAGGTAGGTCTTATCCAGTGAGCAGGACAAAAGTTTGCAGAAAATCTGCTTTCTGAGGGGCGCCATTTCCCTCCCACCTCCCCCAGCCCTCCAACCCCCACCACATATGCACACGCGCACACAGGCATCGACACTTTGTAAGAGGGCCCCTGCTGAAGCAGCAAGGTGGAGTCCAGACCTTACTCAGGTGTCATGGGTTATGCGTTTGGTATGTATATATAGGAGGGGCTGGGCTGGGGGCGTCCTCCCACCACGTAGTCCGTAGGGAGGGGATGTTGAAGAACTGGTCTGTGAAGGGCTTTTGCTTTTGCTCACATGTAGAAGTCAACAAATTGCTGATTTATTCTTTCCCAAGTAGAAATGCCTGCTTTACTTTAAAATTTAACTCGAAATTTTGATTTTATAGAGAGAAGCACAGAATTAATGAAGAAATAAAACTCCTAAGACAGCGGCAGGAAAGAATTGACAAGGAGCTTGATAGGTTTGTTCCTTACTCAACTTTCTAGTGCTTAAAAACATTTTAATTGAACAAGTGTATTACATAAAGCTACGATAGGTTTATTTAAAAATACATCAACTCAGGTATCTGCAAAGAGATTTTCTACTTAACTGTCCATCTGAATAAGTTTCTTTGTCTACAGAATCAACTACTCTACTAATTTAATTCATTGCTAAACATCTCCTTTTACTCCTCTACCTTTAGGGCTTAAGCTCAAGGCCAAAGCATAAGAGACTCTTAAAAACCGAACAAACTGAGGGTTGATGGGGGGTGGGAGGGTGGGTGATGGGTATCGAAAAGGGCATCTTTTGGGATGAGCACTGGGTGTTGTATGGAAGCCAATTTGACAGTAAATTTCGTATATTAAAAAATAAACCCATAAACATGCCCTGCCCTCCGGAAGACGTAAACTAGAAAAACAGGCTATTTAGCTGGTCTCTCTTGGGCTAGTTCTTTGTTCCTCTTCTGCTATAGATACAACATTTTGGGGGGCACATTTATTTTATAATTGAGTAGAAAAACGAAAACTATAAAGTATTGAGACTAACCGACTTTTAGCATACTCACGTGCCCCAAAATTGACAGGTGAGTGCAGCCCTGCAGACAAGCCACAGCTGTGTGCCATTCATCTTCTAATTCCTATTTTGGAACTTAAATTGCGAGTCTCCTACAGAGCTGTCGAATCATTGTGTTATACACCCAAAACTTACATTGTGTGTACACTATACTTAAATTGAAAAAAAACACAAAAACTAGTTTCTCGCGAGGGGTGCCTGGGTAGCTCAATCGGTTGGGTGTCTGTCTTCAGCTAAGGTCATGATCTCACTGCTCATGAGTTTGAGCCCTGTCAGGCTCTGCTGATAGCTTGGAGCATGGAGCCTGTTTGGGATTCTGTGTCTGCCTCTCTCTGCCCTTCCCCCCACTCACATTTTCTGTCTTTCTCTCTCTCTCAAATATTAAATAATAACAAAAACATTTTAAAATTATAAAAGAAAAAAAAGCCAGTTTTAGGGCACCTGGCTGCCTGTTAATGGAGCTTGCAACTGTTGATCTCAGGGTTGTGAGTTTGAGCCCCATGTCGGGTGTAGCAATTACTTAAAACCTTAAATAAATAAAATCAAAGTTAAAAAGCCAGTTTCCCAGTCACATGAGAAAAATCTAGCCTATTACTTTAGAATCTTATCTCACTTTTCACGAAAAATCTTATCACCCAAATTTCCCCTTCACAATACCTAAATTATAAGATCTGATCCCAGGTGACATTTACAAGTTCCCCCAAATCAAATCTGTATGGGATGGGATTTCTCATCACTGAGAATATACAGAAGAATGTAGAACAGTCACAGCAATTTGCAAGAAGCACTCAGATATGTTTTATGCAATGGGACATTGTTGTGATAGGGAAAAATCTATTATAAGATGGCCGACAGGACTGCTAGGGAAATTCCCCTTCCAGGTTCTTCTTCCTACCCCACTTGCCCAGCGCACCAAATTACTAATGGGGAATGCGGAAGTAACAAACTATAAATTGTTCCCTCTGCTTAAGCTTGGGGCTCAGACCTCAGGAGGGTGATCTCCTCTGAGCCCGCTGGTGTAAAATAAACCACCTGCCTTCCAAGATCGCCATGTGCTGGTTGGTTCTTCTGCCGGGTGATCCGACCAGGTTCCATAACAGTTGGAGAAATTAAAGGGGAAATATTCAGTTGTGTATATAAATCTCATATGCCTATTAAATCTGTAGGCACAGCATACAAGTATATCTGTAATCTTCGAAAGAGAAGAAAGGAAAGGCAAACAGAAAAATGGAGGTTAGCTAGTGGGGATGATGCAAAATTGTGAGTGTCCTAAAACACTGAATTGTACACTTAAAAATTTTTTTTTAACGTTTTTATTTATTTTTGAGAGACAGGGAGAGACAGAGTACAAGTGGGGTAGGGGCAGAGAGAGGGAGAGACACAATCTGAAGCAGGCTCCAGGCTCTGAGCTGTCAGCACAGAGCCCGACGCGGGGCTCAAACTCACAAACCACAAGACGCTTCAGACCAGTCAGACACTTACCCGACTGAGCCACCCAGTCGCCCCTGAATTATACACTTTAAAACGGTGAATTTAATGGTATGAGACATATGTCAATAAAAGTGTTATTTTTAAAAAAGGAACAGGACACTGCAAATTAAAAGGGTGAGTTGGAAGATGGCTTGATTTTAACAAAGTGAGGTGAACCAGAATTGAGTATGACTGGCACCTGAGGGAGATTCTAAGGGTGTTACTGAGAAAGGGCAGCAGGGATATTCTGGAGTGTGGTTAGGACTGTGAGAAAGAGACCCAAGCTGTGAGAGCCAGATTTGAGGAAAGCAGGAGAGAACAGACCCAGAGGGGAATAATAAGTGAAGAGAAAAGCCAGTTGGGGAGATAAAATGGACAGAGATAAAGCAGAGAATACTTGAGGAGGCATTTGTTGGTCGCGTGGCTCTAATGCAGGAGACCCTAAGAGCTAGCCCTGCTGTGCCGTCCCGGGTGCCCTATGCCAAGTGCTAAAAAAAAAACCTAGAGGCAGCCTTGTGGGGGGGTGGGCTAACCCAAACTTTATGCTTTAGCAAAGTATATTGGAATTTTCAGAATGTTTTCTTCCTACAAATTCCATGGAGGAAAAAAATCATTTAGAATGTCTCCCTTGAAAATTGCTGTGAAATTAATAGCCATCTATCCCTTTTCATTTTCCTGTCTGCTGTGTTTCTCTTGCTAATGTTTCTCCCTTGTCCCAAGTTTTTACCCATCCTGGCCTAGCCTAGCTCAGCTCTGCCTCTCCCCTCATCCATAGATGTCTGGAAAGGTTTCTGCAGCCTCCTAAATTCAGCTATTCAACTCCTTCATAAGTATTTCTTAAATGAGTACTTGGTGACAAAAATCATGATAGATTCTTAGATTCCTGCCTCCATGGGCTTCCAGTCCAGTGAGCACCCTCATGCTTTAGCCTTTTCCACCGCTCTTTCCCCCCAGATCTCTCCCTGCCAGTCCCTCTTATTCTTCCCTCCCCACTGACGCCCCCTAAAGTCTGCACTGGAGACGGGAGAGTGAAGTCAGTTCAGCAAATACTGTGTAAACCATCTCATGAAGAGAATGCTTCACTCCAGGGGAGCAGTGGCACACAGTGGACACTGCTTGGGTTCACATCCTGTATGACGTGCTAGCTGGAGGACTGGGGGGACAGGTTACTGAACCTGAGCCTTTTTCATCATTTATAATACTGGGTGACAGTAGTGCCTACTTCATAAGAGTAACTGAATGAATATATGTAAAATGCCAGCAGATGCCCAGAATATTAAGTTTTGTGTAAATGTTGGCTCTTAGTTGGTGTCAGTATAAAACAATTAGTTTGGCTACTGATTTTTAAAAAATTTTTTTGATTAGACTCCAGGCGAAGGCTACCAAGAAACCCTACGAAGCTAAGAATGACTTTGACAAGTTCCTACATAAACTGGTATGTTTCCTTTTTGAAAATAGTTGAGAATTCTCTCTCTACCTTGTCTTAATTGGACTGGACAATATTCAATAGCACTGCATGGCTTCACATCCAAGTTACAGTGAGTGACAAGGTAGAATACGCTATTTTAATTTAATCATCTGCATGCACATTTAAGATCATCTCTGTTTTACATATTAGTGACAACCTCATGCCCACTTATCCTCATCCCTTGCTTCTGACCATGGACAGTTCATGCAACTGAAGACTCCAAATGCAGTCAAAATTTCAAATAGAAACTTTATCAGTGTTTGCAGTCATATTTTATTTCCCATCATTAATTCAACAATAATACATTGGATTCCAATGAATGCGTTAGATGAATGGTCCCTGCCCTCAACATAAGACAGAAATTATAAGGTTCTAAACAGGACTCAAGTGTGAGAAAGAAAGAAAATAAAGGAGCCTGCTCTGTCTTTCCAGTTTTCTTTGTCCCCCCCTCTTTGGCTCCTCCTTAAATTATGGGCACTTCTGTTAAATCTGAACGTTCCTCTTCCCTTCCAGCAGGCAAGGACATGTAGAGAAAGGGGTGCAATAAATCTGAAGGTTGAGCCAGCTGAGGTCAGGAATAGGAGAGAGCTTTTTATTTTTAGCATGTCTTCGAGAACAGTCCTCACGGGCCACTAGTGTAACGTCAAAAACAGAGAGTAGATCATCTAATGAAATTTCTATATGAGCCAGAAAGGTGAGAGAAGGGAGTAGAACACCTGCATGTTTAATATTAAACAAATAGGACTATTCTTTACTTCCAAAAAAAATTCTTTCTCCCATTTTTCTTGGTCTCCCCTAACTACTACGGCTAGAGACATGGGTACAGAGAATTATTTAGTGTAAGAAAGCCACTGTGCCAGTGTGCTGGTGAAGGGCAGGTGACCTCGGCTGGTAAATGGTACATGGGCCGAGTATCAGGGAAACTACAAGTTTTGGAAACTGTAGCACACTGAAGAGTCCAACATCATCTAAACAAAGCAGCTATACCTCAGCTTAAGTTCACTGTCCGCCCCCCATCCCCAGGAATGGAGGGCAGGGGATAATCAGATCTTTCACCATCCATAATCCAGATTCTCCTATAAAATTTCTGATGAGAACCCCAAGTTTTTAAATACTTGGGGGCCAAACTAAATGTATCTGCAAACCAGATGTGGCCTGTGGGCTACTGGTTGGCAACCCCTCATCTAAATGCTAGACTTAGAGCTCTTCAAAAGCTACCTCCAGCCAGCGTAACCTATCTTATCCTCCACTGTATCCCAGGGCAAACAAACCGAGGTGTCCAGACACACCATGTTTATTTGCCCATACTCATACATTCACTCATCTGCAGTGCCTGCTCCCCAGCTTTCATATTCGACTCATTCTTTAGGGCCCTGCTCAAATTCCATCTTCTTCATAAGGCTTTTTTCCAGTTGCCCTAGCCCCATCCTCTCCAGAAAAGGTTGAAATCTCTCATAATTTCTAGAATGACACTTGGTGATGGTTTGATTGAAAACTAGTTCTTTTCTTCAATCCAGACACCAAGACAAGAGTAGATCCCTGGCTTAGAACAACTGTGTCTTCCAAAGCAGAGGGCACAATGGAAGTTTTTAGTCACGTACTGCAAGAAGGAACCTCATGATGAAAAGTTTAAATAGAATAGCAAAGCAACGGAAAGTACCACTTTTTTTTTATATATATAGTAATCCAGGTATCTCTAAGTCATTATGTACCAACCACAGATCTTCTGTGGAAAATGGAATAGTATTAAAAAACAATTCTAATTTTAAATCATTTCAGATTTTGGATTATTGGGTGTTTAAAAACTCAAAATTCATTCAACATATTTGACTTAAGCTTTCTCAAGCGTTTACCTTTCTTTCAAGATGAAAATGCACCTGCAGTTTATTTTAGAATAGAATGGATTTCCGAGTCCTTTACATAGGACTGTTGTCCTTTGAGAAATATTAAAACTAGCTTTGCCTCAGACTCTCCAAAACTGAGATTCAAGATGATGTCTAGTGTTTAAGATGCACATTAATGAGCAAAACAGTCATCAAATAATACGAAAGTGTGATAATTTTCTGGATAATTTATGCCATAAGACTGTTGCTGTCTCAATTATCTGGTTATAGCAGCAAATTACTTTCTGGGTTAAATCTTCATATAATTCAGGAAGACCTTCTTGTGAGAAAGCCATTCACTTACCATCACCACATGGCTAAACATTTCTGCCCACTTTTGATGAACACATAAGGACTCACCAACACCCCTACTCAACCCCAGAACCCACTCTTACCCACATACCTGCATAACTGTCCTACACTGTTCCACACATACAAATGAGACCTGCTAGACACACCCCAAAGGGTTGTGAGGCATGGATGGGGTTTCTCAGAGCAAGTAAGCGTGCCCTGTGGATCAGAGAGGCATTTGAGAAGAGGTAGCATAAAGTGGGAAGAAAGTAAATTCTATGAACAAATTGAATTATCTGAATTATCATCCAGATAACTACTTTAGTGTGAATACAGGTAAGGTGTAGAGTGTCTTTTATGTAAGTTTCTCTATTTTAAGTGACAGAGACAGCTGAGGGCTGAAAGAATTGAAAGTGATTGTTTATGTGATATCACATAGCTTTTAAAAAGTAAATGAGCCTAAATCCATCTTGGCCAAAAAAAAAAGGTAATTCTTCTCGTCTTGATAATTAGTGAGTGTAGTAACCTCACATTCAAGTATCCAGGAAAATTTGTGAGTCTTTCATTATGATTATTTTAATAGCGTTCTGAAGCTCGAACTGAGAGAGAGTTTCTGGCATCACTCTCATCATCAACATCATCAACAGAAGACTACAACTGTGAAGAAGAAGAGTGTCAAGAGAAACCAGAAATGGACTGTATTTAAGAATATACAATTCAATTGTATCCCTTTAATTGTAGCAGCATGTTTAACTCAAGTCTAATCCATGAGGTCAGTATAAATGTCTTTTACCAATTCATCTTTAAAAATCTTGAAATCAATAAATGTCAGTAAATCATCCTTAAAAGATCTGCCCAAGCATAATTTTGGCTCTTATTGATAGAAAACATAGTTTAAGATGGAAAAATAATCATTATGAAGCATAGAGAGCTTTCAACCGTTTCTTTGGAAATACATCTTGATAATAGCAACCGTTCATCATAATACAAAACAGAAAGAGGATTAATTTACTGTGGCATAAGAAGTTCTGCCAGTTCCTAAATGCCCTAAATAGTTTCTCTGAGATTTTTTACATTGTTTAGGCCTCAAGGAAAACCAAAGCCCCACCCCCAGGTTTGGTAGCAAACAAACTCTGCTTCTCAAATGTTAAGTTTCGGTCGCTCCTCTGGTAATAAGCTTCGTGCACCTTTGCTAGGAAGCTGGACAGCTTGTCAGCAGGTACAATTGATACTGTACAGCCTCCCCATCCTGCTCCAGTGAGTCGTGACCCTTGAGCCCCAAACTTCCTAAAACAATGAGAAAAAAAAAAATTAGAACCTGTAAAAGAAAGTAAGAGTGGTTTGCCTGGTACTTCTAGAACACACAGCCTGAGGAGAGAATATGTGTGGGGTTTTTTGGGGGATCAAAGGGTAGTTAAGTGTTGCCAAACATTTTAGGACATGAAGGAATGTACACTGTTTCAGAAGGTGATTTGAAATTTAATTTTATCTAAAACTAGCCCATGGTTTTTTTCTCTAGGTAGTAAAAGTTAGCATTACTCCTGTTTGGTGAAAGCTGGCAATAATCCACTATAAAGTCTTGATTCTATAAAGTCACCAATTGAAGAGTTGTATGTGGCAAGCTTACAGGTGATGAAGAGGAGGGAGTAAAAGGAAAAGAGACAGCAGACATGATCAACAGTATGAATCAGAAGGTGGCTCCAAATGAAGTCAAATCAAAATGTAAATTGCAAGTCTTATACAAGTGAGGGTTTCTCTAGTAGTCATTTAAGGTGTGTTTGTAAGACTTGGCTGTTCCCCATAAAAGTATCAGTCCCCTAGAACAGACAGCCTGGGTTTGCGTTGAATAAATTTATCGAGAAGGAACATGTTATTAAACTCTAGACCAGTCTGTCTATTTAAAACCTAATGGGAAGCTATACAGACGTTTCCACAAAAATGGAAGGTGGCCTCTACAAGTCCAAATGCATCTTCCTTGAACCTTTGGGAACTACTCTGACAGCTGAACTCAGAATTTACCATCAGCCAAAATGTGTGACCCGGATGGAAACCACTATTTAAACCACCACACAAAAAGAGGTCATTTTAGTCACCATCACCCAGGCCAGCTTCCAACCAAAGATTTATACCCAAGTAAAAGGCCCTACACAAAGCACAAGAGTCCCTCATTTTTTAAGATGTAATTTATCCTGATAATAAAGGTTAACATGTACTTCCAATTCTTCCTAATAAAATTTGCTCCAAATTCATAGCAGATTAAAAACTCCATAATTAATTTAGCACATTTTTTTCTCTCTTTTTCCATCTAAATGAGCTACTTTACTTCCTGGAAAATATCAATAGAATATTAACCCTCCTCTAGGACATCGGATTTATTGCACACCAGTAATTCATTTTCCCCTCAATGATTTTCTCAATTGGTTCCTTTTTATTATCTGTTGTATTCATTAAAATATGTTTTTCAAATGAAAATAGATGTTTAAGGAAGAAAACAAAATGCTTTCAAAGAAAGATTACTCATCTCCTGCTGTCCCCCAGACATTCAGCTTACAGCCCAGCAGCTGCACAGAGCCCAGACTCCTATCATCCAGGCTGAAAGTTTCTCTGACTGGGAGATTCTAGGATAATTCTGAGTTCCCAGACTGGCAAAGGGCCATTTTTTAATCACAAAGAAAAAAAGAAAGTTGTGATACGCAGTGACATCAAACTATTGCTACCCATGGAAGATGCTGAAAAAACCGAGGTGTCACCGAAGCATTTCTGGAAGACCCTAAAATTGGGACACAGAAGCCAACCGTGGCCTGGTCTAGAGAACAACAGGGTGCCTCTTACATGATTCTCTAAGATCCAGACTATGCCACTGTGCTGGACTTAAATCAGCCAGGTCTTTTATGGTCTTCAATGGACTTCAGACATGTTTTCTTACATCTTTTCATCTGAAAAGTTTTTGAAAGCTGTTTCAAAACTGAATCTAAAGCAAACTGAGTATTGTTTCTAACTGGTTACAAAACCAGTAGGAATTGTGCCAAAGGGTGTATTTTCCTCAGTATCCTGCCACTTTCCAGAAAGCAGAAACTAGAAGTATTTCTAGGCAAATATATTCACTTTTGAGTCCCCAGAGCTGCTCTGGCACCACCCTGCCTGCTGCAGATGAAAATGGACTGGGTTGCATCAGCCACATGATATGAAGTCATCAGGGCTCAAATTCCCAAACAGAAAATGATAAATGCTATTATTATAAATAGCCTTCTGCCCTTGAGTCAATGGCACTTGTGATCACAAATCAGGGGGCCGCCCGAGTACCTGGTCTGCAGCCTGCCCAGCTATATATACTCACAGAGGCAGAGGTCCTGTCTGCAGTGTTCTAAACTGGTGCTTAATATGCCCTTTGGCATATGCCATAGAAATTCAGGGAAAAATCCAAAAGTTAGGAGACCAATATAAGCTTTATATTAGGAAAGAAAAAGAAGGCAAGCCTTGTTCTTCCTAAGAGAACACTAAGACATTAAAAATATAGATTCTTGGGGCGCCTGGGTGGCGCAGTCGGTTAAGCGTCCGACTTCAGCCAGGTCACGATCTCGCGGTCCGGGAGTTTGAGCCCCGCGTCGGGCTCTGTGCTGACAGCTCAGAGCCTGGAGCCCGTTTCAGATTCTGTGTCTCCCTCTCTCTCTGCCCCTCCCCCGTTCATGCTCTGTCTCTCTCTGTCCCAAAAAAAATAAGTAAACGTTGAAAAAAAAATTAAAAATATATATATATATATATAGATTCTGAGCTATTGCACATCAGAGAGCAATACAAGAGTTATGAACACCAAAACCCTAGAATCCCCCAAATACCACTCCTTTGTGGTGACCAGACTGGGAAATAATGTGGAAGGGTTGGTCAAAACAACCAAAGCAGCCTTTGCCTTTATTAGTATGATCTAGGAAACAAAGGCAAGAGGAGTTAGGCAGATTATAGAATGCTCCCTTTGATCCTTTTATCACTGAAAAGTAATCATATAACTAACTTTCCAGGCATCCAATATAGCCTGGCTAAAATTTCCTACTTTAAATGAGCTGATTGGACCATAAAGCACCTACTAAGATACAAGGCACAGAAAAAAGCAGGGTGTGGTGGGGGTGGGGGTGGGGGGAGGGTGGAGGGAGATCCAGTAAACATAGCCTTGCTACAAAGAAGGAAAGAAGGGATTGTGCCTCGTATTTCAATTCAATTTTATTTATTTCAAAATACTTGTATATTATACAAATGGGTATTAAATTAATTCAGAATATTTTGAATTAAGGGAGAGGTTATATCTCTCCAGGCCCAGCCCAGCACAATTCTAGACATTTGGTAGGTTGTAACAAATAGCTGTTGGGATTATTACACTTGTTTTAAAATACCAAAATATATACCCAGTCTGTTTATTTTTTTATTAAATCAATGTTAGAAAACTTCAATTATGTGAAACAGAGTACAATAATGAAGAGATAATGTCCACCCAATTATAAAATATCATTTTGAATGAACAAAATGCATTTTTTAAGAGATGGCTAAATTTTATTTATTTTTATTTTTAAAGTTTATTTATTTATTTTTGAGAGAGAGAGCACAAGCAGGGAAGGGGCAGAGACAGAGGGAGACACAGAATCCGAAGCAGGCTTCAGGCTCCAAGCTGTCAGCACAGAACCCAACATGGGGCTTGAACTCACTAACCATGAGATCATGACCTGAGCCAAAGTTGGACGCTTAACTGACTGAGCTACGCAGGTGCCCCTCGAAATGGCTAAATTTTCAAAAAGAATTTCTTGAAGTATGTAAAACAACTTTTAATTATATGTGAGACAGCTCACATATATATATTATATATAAATATAACCTGTCAGTAATATATCTTATGTCTGGAAAGCCTTCTAGCTTCTGCTCTAAAGCCTAGAATCTTCCAGCTAGAATCTCAGGAAAACAGAATTTCCAGAAGAATTTCTATGACTTTTGCAGCCAAGTTAGAAACACTCAGATTGCTTTAGATTCAAGAAACCACAGACTTCAAATACTGTTCAAATGAGAAAGTATAAGAAAATGTAACTACAAGTCTGTTTGAGAAACGTAAGCTACTAAAGGCCCTGAAAGATGAGCTGGTTTCTGCAAAGGGCATATATATATATATATATATATATATATGAACAGGGTTAGGGGGGTGGAGAGGACAGTAAGCGGAAGACAGGGGCCCAAAGAGAAGTGAGCCCCTAAGCGCAGTGGAAAGGGCCTTGGCCCTTTATTTGGTAGAGTGTAAAGATTAGCCTCAAGATCATGGGGAAGGAAACATACAGATAGGAGTTTACACTTCATTCTCCCCTGGCCTGCTCAGGAGAATGGGTGCAAAAGGCTGAGCAGCATAGGCATGGAGTAAAGTTTGAAAAGATTTCTGAGGAAGACAGCAAATTAACTTTTGTAATCTTTGTTAGCCTATTAACATTTGTCATTCATTTCCCTTAATAGCTTTGGCAATGATGCAGCAATGAGGTCTCTAATTTCAGCAAGTGTCAAAACAGAAATAAAAGACATTAACTATTTTTTCTTAAATATAACCAGGAAAATTGATAACAAATGAGCTATCTCATATATAACTGACTTGGTTTGAAAATTGCTTTGTGTTTCTCAACGAATCCTACTTTAAAATTTAGCTGTTTCTTAAAATTTACATTTTGTTCATTTAGAAGAATTATTTTATAACTGGGCAAGTTTCATCTTATTCTCTCACTATTATACTTTGTTTCACATAATTGAGGTTTTCTAACATTAGTTTAATAAAAATAATAAACAGCTTAACAGCATAAATGTAGTTTCCTTCTCCCTCCCTGGCCCTTTCTTTGAATGCTAAACTGATTTTCTCTTAAAGAGCAGTGAAAAGCTCAACTGACAAACAGAGCAAGTGTCAGTGATCTTTTCTTTCTTTTCCCCCTCTTTTCTCTGCTTGGGTCATATAGCAGCTTCTTACACATTTTCCTATAGGCTAGCTACCTAGAGATGCCTTTTGAATATAGTCTAGCTCAGATCACAATAAGATTTCAGTTTGTATGACAGGTGTTTGAGGGGATGCAGAGAAAGGGGAACCCTCTTGCACTGTTGGTGGGAATGCAAAGTGGTGTAGCCACTCTGGAAAACAGTATGGAGGTTCCTCAAAAGTTAAAAATAAAACTACCCTATGATCCAGCAATCTACTAGGTATTTACCTACAAAATGCAAAAACACTAATTCAAAGTTATACATGCATTATCTATAATAGCCAAGTTCTGAAAGCAGTCCAAGTGTCCATCCATTGATGAATGTATAAAGAAGACGTGGTATGTATGTACACACACACACACACACACACACACACACACACACACTGGAATATTACCCATAAAAAAGAATGAAATCCTTCCATTTGCAATGACATGGATAGAGCTAGAGAGTATAAGGCTAAGCGAAATAAGTCAGAGAAAGACAAATACTGTATAGTCTCACTCATATGTAGAATTTAAGAAACAACAAATGAGCAAAGGGGAACAAAAAGAGAGAGAGAGAGGCAAACAAAGAAACAGACTGTTAACAAGAGAGAACAAACTGATGGTTACCAGAGGGGAGGGGAGTGGGGGAAAGAGTTAAATAGGTGATGGGGATTAAGGAGGGCACTTGCTGTAATGAGCACTGGCTGTTGTATATAAGTGATGAATCCCTAAATTCTACTCCTGAAACTAATATTACACCATATGTTGACTAACTGGACATTAAATTAAAAGTTTTAAAAATTAAACTAAAAAAAAAATTTAGCTTGTATGTAAGTGCCCTAAGTATCTAGGCATTAAAATCCTTCATTCACTCAACCAATTAGTTGTGTTTTCATACAAATAGTTTCCAAGCAGGCCTTCAGGAAAACTAAAGGAATTTTAAAGTGTCACAAGTAGACCTGGAAGTAAAGACTGTCTTTGGCCTTGTTGCTCCTTGAACCCATTTAAGCTTCCCTCCTCCCTCCTCTGGTCTCGGGAAGGCAACCAACCATCTAAGGCTGCCCAGTCTTAGTCATGCCTTCCCCACTGGTGTTAACACTTTTAAAGGGGACAGGGAAGTGTAGCACATCCAGCACCTCCCCTGCCTAGCCCAGTGCTACAGTCATGAAGCTTCAGGAGGAACTAGGGCTTAAGGGCATCTCATTTTGCATTTGAACCTTTCTACTCATTTACCCTCCACGACTATTATCCGTCTTTCTCTCTCACTTTTAACCACCCCATCTCACCACTATCTTTTTAATTCTTCTGCATTCCTTCCTCTTTCCCCTTACACACACACACACACACACACACACACACAAGTGTCAAGAGCTTTTGAAAGCGGAGTTTAGACTTCGGTGCCACATAGGACACAAATACCCCGGGGCAAAGCATTTGCTGGCTGTAGGGAGGAATGGCATCAATGACTGCATCTACCTAGTTCCCCCAGTCTGTCTTCCTAGGAGGTTGCTCTGCCATGTAGGGCCTTTTAGTAATTGGCAACCAGTTGGAACATTTGGAGACTATCTGCTGGTCACAGTGACAACAAAGAAAAAATTAATTAAATCAGAAGTTTAGGGACCACACAACTATTCTGGCCAATATTTACACAACAAAAGGTAATCTTTCAATATGGGAAACTCGATCCCTATATGATTCTCGAATAAGTAGAAACTAATTTTGATGGTTTGCAATTGACTTTCCAAATAAAAAAGCCCATAAAAAAGAGAATGAGCTCCTTATACTAGACACAACTGAATTTTCCTCAGAAAAGCAACATAGCAGGGGCGCCTGGATGGCTTAGTCGGTTAGGTGTCCAACTCTTAGTTTTGGCTCAGATCATGATCTCAAGGTTCATGGGATTGAGCCCTGCATCAGGCTCTGTGCTGACAGAGCAGAGCCTTCTTAGGACTCTCTCTCTCTCTCTCTCTGTGGCCCACCCCCATGCACACACACGTATACTCTCTCTCTCTCTCTCGCAAAATAAACATTAAAAAAAAAAAAAAAAAAAGAAATGCAGCTGATGGAAATGAGCTAGACAGAAATACTTTGAGAAATTAAGTGTTTAGGGATGCCTGGGTGATGCAGTCAGTTAAGTGTCTGTCGGACTCTTGATCTTGGCTCAAGTCATGATTTTGCCTGTTCGTGAGATCGAGCCCTGCCTCGGGCTCTGTGCGGACCATGGGAGCTTGGGATTCTCTCTCTCCCTCTCTCTCTGTCTCTCATGCTCTCTCTCTCTCAAAATGAATAAATTTAAAAAAAATAAGTGTTAATTTAAGTGTTAAATTTGAGTGTCAAGGCATTAAGAAAGGACTTTCCAAAAACAAATAAAAATAATAATAAAAGGTGCTCTTCTAAACTCTTTTAAGACCTAGCCATTAGATCCCTCACTGGAACCACATTAAAAAAAAAGAGAGAGAGAGAGACCTATAGATGGTTAGAACAGAAAAAGATACAGGAGATCATAAAACAAGACAACAATGCAAAATCACAGAGCTCAGAAGGAAAAGTGGCAGAGCTGGAACTCAACCTTCTTAACTTCAACTCAGTTGTCCTCCTACTCCACACACTGCCTCCCCCGCTCAACATGGCTTTGTCCAGTGTTCACATGCTGCACATTAGGACAACACAAACCTCCATTATTAAAGTTTTAAAGCCGGAAAGGAAAATGACCCACATTCCAACATAATCATATCTCAGTAAACTCAGGGGAGAGAGAGAGGCATGGCAAAAGCACTGGATGAGGAACCAGACCTTTCACACCAACTCAATACATTTACTTGTTCAAATCACTTCACCTCCTAGTGCCTGCTCAGGTCTTGAAGGACCCCTCCTGCTTTCTTACCTTATGGCACTATGAGAGAATTCTGCCCCCCAAAATGTGAAATACCGCTTCCCAAAATGTGGCTTTGACAGAAACAAGCAAACTTTCTCAGGCCAAACACCCAGGAGTCATCTTGATTCCTGTCTTTCACCCACACAACAATTATCTTGAATCTTCCTTCAAGGCACGCCTTGCATGGGATCACTTAGCACTTCCACTGCCACCTTCCCACATCCAAAGCCAAAGTCCTTCCAGTGGCCTAGGAGGGCCCTGTGCTGTGACTCCCCACTCCCCTCCCCCCCAACTTCATCACCTGCTACTCTCTCCTTTACTGCCCTCCAGCCTACGAGTTGTCCAGCTCTTCCTCACATGTGACAGCCACATCCCCACCTCTGGGCCTATGCACTTGCTATTCTCATTTCTTCATGTCTTCAGGTCTCTGCTCAAACATCACCATCTCAGAGAAGCCTTCCTCAACCCTTACTATAAAGGTCACCCATCCAAACTGGAGAGTGTTATGCTAAGTGAAATAAGCCATACAGAGAAAGACAGATACCATATGTTTTCACTCTTATGTGGATTCTGAGAAACTTAACAGAAACCCATGGGGGAGGGGAAGGAAAAAAAAAAAAGAGGTTAGAGTGGGAGAGAGCCAAAGCATAAGAGACTCTTAAAAACTGAGAACAAACTGAGGGTTGATGGGAGGTGGGAGGGAGGGGAAGGTGGGTGATGGGTATTGAGGAGGGCACCGTTTGGGATGAGCACTGGGTGTTGTATGGAAACCAATTTGACAATAAATTTTATATATTGGAAAAAAATAAAAAAATAAAATGCATGTAGAGCCCATAAAAAAAAAAAAAATAAAGGTCACCCATCCAACCATGATACTCTCTATCCCTTCTTTTTTTTTTTTTCATAGCACTGTTTTTTTTTTTATACCACTACCACTCAATTTATTTTTAACTGTCACTCCCCTCTTTCCCCATGAGAGGCTCCATGAGAGTGAGAGCTGGTTGACAGTCCCAGGAAGAGAAGGTTCACTAGGGGATTCCAGGAGGCTGACCAATGCCCTTTCACCGCTTTTCAGGGGGGAGTCAAACTACCCCACTGCCCTCCAGGCAAAGACACTTCTGCCTGATTTCTGCACAAATCATTCCACTTCTTTTAATTTCCAGAACTGAATAATACTCATCCCTTCCATTTACTGGGCCCTTGATATTTTCAGAAAAGAGCACTTATAGTGGAACAAGCTCTGGAAGGCATTTTGGCAATTAGTGAGCAAACTCTGATGCCAGCAGAGTGATTCTCATCAATGTTATGTTCAAGTCTTTCTACAAGTTGGGTTACACATGCCATCTGTGATTAGTAGAGCTAGGTGATTTAAACTTTTCAGGCTGGAAGTGTGGTAATGAATGAGGCAAGCCATAGGCGCCAAGTGGTTAATTTTGTTTTCATTACTAATTGCAGGCAGTTCTGCATTATCTTCTCACAGTGGAAATAACATCTAGCCATTTGAGAGTCCTCCCAATTTCCCTTTCAGTCCTCCCAAGGTCATTGAAATCCCTTCTGGGTAAAGTGACCATTCTACTCTATTATCCCCATTCTCTAACAATTATAAGGAAGCTGTTCTCAGGCTTTGTTGAAAGAGTTTTCCCCTTTACATTTCTGTCTCAACCAACCATTTATAAGCCAGGCTTTCATCAAGTCCTCATTTCTCCAAATTGCTTAACCTAAATCTGGAAAGCTTTCTGAGTAATTCCTTCAGCAACCTCCCCTGCCCCCAAATACACTATCAGGTCTGAGGGCCTTTTTCTGTTTTCTCCCTTCCTTTGAAAAAATCTACTACACTTAGGACACCAAACAGGAGATGCTGGCAGGGCCCCCATTGTAGTGGATATACCATTGATTAAAATATGATGAGAAAGTAACAGCAGGGCCATGGCTAAGAAAAGCTCCCTGAAATACCTAATCATCCGAAGATGGAAAGGCATTGTGAAGAACTGATTCCAAAGAACTGATTCATAAAGCTATTGGAGTCAGGTCTCCAATATTTCTCCTACAGATATTTAGGAGCGAATGAGTTCAGCTCTGTATCATAGACAACACCTCAGATAGGAAGTGGGGAAGGATCCCCTTTCATTTAGAAGGTTATGAAAATATTGCATTTTTTTTCATTCATTTCAACAGTTTCCATGGCCGTGTCCCACAGCCCCCCCATGCTGCTGTCCCAGGCTCACCGACAGATGTCCACCAGCCGGTCCATTTCAGGGCAGCTGCACTCATACATGTCCCGGCAGCTCACGTGGCTCTGGTTCATTAAGTCCCCCAGCAGCTGGACCATGTTGTCAGGTGCTTCTTCACATATCTTCTTAAACTGGAGCACCCGAGCAGCCTCACTGTACACGTGCTTTGCCCGCTGGTAGAGTTTGAAGATGAGCACTTAGGAAGGGAGAGGACAGGGAACAAGGTTAGAAGTGTTTACTGGACAGCCCAGTGCAAAGAAAAACAGTCATTGAGGACTTCCGTTTCTATCTTCATTATCAATACCATCAAGACCATGAAAGAAATCTTCATGGTCTAAATTTGTCTCTTTTCAAGTCAATTTTACTTTTTTCTTTATAGTGACTACAGTCTTCTATTTTTTCCCTTCATTCTACACACCCAGCCATGTGCACACACATGCGTGCAAACTAACTCATCCCATAGGAGCAAGGAGCTAACATGTACTGAGAACTCCCTATGTTTCAGCCACTTTAAAGGCACGGTCTTCATGTAGTTCTCCTCACAGCACTGGGGAGGGAGGGGGGTGTGGGTGGCAGTATGATCCCTGGTTAACAGGTAAGAGAATGAGGCTGAGCAGACTGAGCCTAAGGTCACATATCTGGAAACTGGAGAAGCAGAATATTGATCAGGATGTCTGATCCCAGGGCCATATTCTTTCTACTGTGACCCACCAGAAAGGACCACTGAAAATGCTTATGCTGGCAATTCTATTTATGAAAATGTATCCTAGAGATAAGTACAAGTATTTGTATATGTATATATGTGTACATGTGTATGTGTACCCATACACACACACATACACACACACACACATATATGTATAGCAACAGAAAATATAGAAACAAATGTCCAATAATAGGAAACATTTAAAAAACTATGTTATATCCATTAAAAAATATTATTGCCATTAAAACTTAGAATCTAGGGGTGCCTGGTGGCTCAGTCACTTAAGTGTCCAACTCTCAATTCCAGCTCAGGTCATGATCTCACAGTTCGTGGGATCAAGCGCCACACCAGGCTCTGCACTTACAGCATGGGGCCTGCTTAGGATTCTCTCTCTCCCTCTGCCTCTCCCACACACCCTCTCTCTCTCTCTCAAAATTAAATCTTAAAAAAAACAAAACAAAACAACAACTCAGATCCTAAGACAATTTACTATCTGAGAAATTATTCACTATCAAGTGAAAAAAGATACAAAACTATATGTACAATTGATACTAATTTTGCATTTGCACATACATGCATTTATATAAATTTTAATTTTTAAAAATTTTAAGAAAGCACCAAAACATTAACAGTTATTATCCCTGTGGTAAATCATGGGTGATTTTATTTTCTCCTTAACACATTTCTATACTTTCTAGATTATCTGCAATGACTCTTAACTTCAGTTACAGGAACATGTCCTACTGCAGTGGTTTTCTCTATAATGTTTACATGTTCTCTTGAATAATGACTGAGACCTCCTTAACATTCTCACCCTTGCAGAGTGGCTGAGCTTGTGCCATGGACCTGACGAATTTGTGATTATATGGAAGCTACCTAGCCAACTGGAAAGATCCAGGGCTGCACATCAAAAAGTCTGTCCTTTCTTTTCAGCTCTGTGACAATTAACTGTACCCAGTTGCTACCCCTATAAGGTTCTATTTCCCCATCTCTAAAATGAGGTTGAGAATTACTTCTCAGGATCCTTCCAGGTCTAACATTTTATGATTCCATGAAGATCTTCTTCCAAGCACCCCCCCCATATTGTTATATGTTGTAAAGAGTGTGCTGTGACTGTTTCCTTTTGTCTGCACCCCCACTTCTACTCTCTCCTCTTCTCTACCCCACTTCTCTGCCTCAGGAGGCTGACCTGTATGATTACACCAGTGGGTTCCCTTGCCATCTAGACTGGAGAAAGGGAGATCAAGAAATGGGAAGGAAGAAAGTAGGACAGAGGATTTATTCCCCAGCTCCCTCCTTGCAGGGGGCTCTGCTACTCCACTGAAAGACACTGAACATCCTCTCAAGAGAGCCTTTTCTACATGACTTGATCCTCCAGCATTGACCTCCAGGTTCCTCCCCCTACACTATTACTACTTTTTTGGAGGTGCTTTCACATTTCATTTATGAACCAACATATTTTAGTAAAGTTTCAGGTTACATTTCCTCCCTCTCCACAGCACCATCCTCCTAATTCTTAGGGATGGATAAAAAGGCAGCCAAGGCTGGAGGAAGTAAACAGCCCTTCTTAGGATTGTGTAAAGTTTAATAATTACAAGGGTGGGGCTACCTTTCTATAAATAAGCAAAAAATGAAAAGTTTTCTTTCAAACATTCTCAACTGAGTCATATGAAGTATGACTCAACTTCCAGTTAACAGCTTGCATTTTCCCGTTCTCTTTCAAAGAGGACTTAAATTCATTCATCAGATCTAGTCAGTTCTTTTGCAACATGTCTGGTAATCATGCCTCCTTTCTATTTCTGCTGTCATTACCCAAATGTACATTTTTACTCCTTTTCCCACTTGAACTATTCTGCAGTGGTTTCCAAATTGATTTCCCTATCTTGATGTCTCCTTCCTGCAACCTATCTTGAGGCCAACACAGCCAGACGGAGCTCCTAACACACAGCCTTACTCATGTTACTGCCCCAAACCTTTACTGCCTGGCCAGTGCTTCCTATAATCCAGATTCCTGCCCTCAGCATGCTGGGTCCCAATAGGAGGTCCTCCGTCCAGCCAAACTCTCTTACTTACAGTTACCCAAAGACTCCTGGCTCCTGAGGATACTCATTTACCACACAGAAATAGTTTCCTTCCCTTTCTCTCTCTGCCAAAATTTAACCTGTTTCTGAAGGTTCAGTTTAAATTTTTTATGCTCAGGAAGCCATGCTGGCCCCAGCTGGAAAGAATCTCTTGACTCTATACCACTCTTGCAGTCCATGGCACTCGCTTGTGCTTGCCAAACCCTTTTCACGGTAACTGTTTCTCCTATGTCCACAAAGTTCATGCACTGCTGAAGACAGAAAGCAGGTCTTCTAGTCCCATGCATTCCACCAGTGCAACATTTCATCCCAGAGCACTTTCAATAATGCGTTATAGGACAGGAGCTCAGTGGGTGTTCACTGTTACAATTAGGACTTTATTTTTAACACTAATTCTAAGTTAAGATATCTCCACATAGGCATTGTTGCTTAATAATCATAATCATAATAGATGAGGGGCCAATACTCACAGCTTACTAAAGTGTTGAGGCTGAAGAAAGGGGACAGCAAGATACCCTTTGCTACGGAATCTACAACTGACACCAAGTGGATGAAAAATAAGGAAAAAGAGAACTTACAAGTTAAATGTAGGTGGGAATAAAAACACAACATGTTTTGTTCCACCAGTAGTCCACACTGCAATGTGAAGTTATTATATCCATCAATAAGTTCAACTTATTTCATGGTCGAGATATCAAAATATCCCAAGATAAGAAAATCTTACCAATATCCAGTACTGGAACATACTGTCAGCAAAAACACACTGTCTGAAGAAACAGCACAGGTAGATTTAATAGTAACAGCTGCTCAAAATCTCTGAACAGAGAAGGAAGAAGACAGGCCATTGATTGGCAAGCATGTGCCTGAGACAGTGCCAATATTTTATATATGTTAATATAATCCAGGTTGTTGAGTTTACATTTTGAATATTTATTTATTTTTTAATTTATTTTTGGGAGAGAGACAGAGAATGAGCAGGGGAAGGGCAGAGAGAGGGGGAGACACAGAATCTGAAGCAGGCTCCAGGCTCTGAGCTGTCAGCACAGAGCATGATGCGGGGCTTGAACTGACGAACTGTGAGATCATGACCTGAGCCGAAGTTGGACGCTTAACCGACTGAGCCACCCAGGCGCCCCTGAATTTACATTTTGATAGGAAGGAAATGACTTTAGCAACTGCAGTTTAAGATTGTTCTTTTTTAAAACTAAGGTTGAAACAAAATGTTTAAAATACTAGCTTTAGGATTCTGTATGTTTCAGTTTTTGCCTCTGAGCTACTTCACCTCCTATAATCATAGACCAAGTTTAAAATCAGAGTATGGGGGGCAGGGCTGGTTAAGGGTAGAATATTGATTTATTTTTACTATAATGTCCCACTTATGAAGAAATCATCTAGTTTCCAGGTGCACTGCTATATATCGCTGAATGTGACAAAAGGCACAGTAAAGCAGCATCCACTGTGATCATAAAATAGTGCTACTTAGCTGAAAAATCACTGTCCTGTCTGTGATCCAATGTGCAAAGATCTTTTAAACTTCGAATTATAAAAATTTTCAAATATGCAGGACAGTGGAGAAAATACTATAGTAAACTCACAAGCCCATCACTGAGACTGAACAATTATTAACATTTTGCCATATATGCTTCAGTTGATTCTTGCTGAAGTGTTTTAAAATAAATTATAGATGTGATTTTTCATCTCTGTATTTGAGTATGCGCCTCTATAAAATAAGGACATCTCCTTACATAATCTCCATATCGTTATCACACCTAACAAAATTACCAATGACTACTTAATATTGTCACATATTCAGTACATATTAAATTTTCCCAATTGTTGTTTAATTTTCAGTTGATTTACACCAGGATCTGAACAAAGCCCACACATTATATTTCATTGTTATATCTAATAAGTTTCTTTTAATCAAGAATTTATAGTGATTTTTGATACTATAGCTTCTCAATGTCACGTATATAAAATGCAGGCATATTTTAGGGTCAGATCCTGTGATAAAAATACAGTCCATTAGGGACAGTATGCTTTAGCTTTTCTTAGGATTATGTAGTCCTTTAGGATTAAATATTTTCCATTAGGTTTAAATATTGTAAAATAGAAACTGTCAAGTTGCTGAAGGCAAGGGAAACAAAAGCAAACATGAACTATTGGGACTTCATCAAGATAAAACCTTCTGCACAGCCAAGGAAACAATCAACAAAACTAAAAGTCAGCCTACAGAATGAGACAATATATTTGCAAATGACATTTCCGATAAAGGGTTAGTACCCCAAATCTATAAAGAACTTATGAAACTCAACACCCAAAAAAACAGACAACCCAGTTCAGAAATGGGCAGAAGACATGAATAGACACTTTTCCAAAGAAGACATTCAGATGGCTAACAGACACATG